GGAGTGCACTGGATCAGACGTGTAACGGAAAGATAGCAACCAAAAGCACTGTATAAGAGATGCAGGGATGATGATTTTCAACAGTGAACCGGATGGAAAGGAATACGTTTCCAAATCTGAAATGCTGCGCACATCTTAAAACCCATTACTTTATTCAAACTACCTGCTTCATGACTGAGTTCAATCGTTTGGTTTGTATGTTTTTATGAAGTATAGGAAAGCTTATTCCATTTGAAAACTGTTTGAGTCCGTGTTAAGTGCATGCGAGACCACCCAGATAATGCGTACTACAGTTCGTTGTTAAACTTCTGAATTACTGATTCGATATAGGTCCTGTTTCATTTATGGGAAAGAGAAATCGGCTTGCGTTGTGATTGAGCTTTTGTTCATGTAATCCTTCTGGGTTCTCATTTTTTTACCATTTAAAACAAAATAAATGCTACTATCATCAACTTGTCCAGCGAGGTTCGAGGAGTATGCGTGAAGTCCAAGCGATATACCATATGTGTCATGAATTCTGGACAGCTCGAGGCGACACTAAACGCCTCGTGTTCGAGTCGGCCGGTAAAATGGGAGAATACACGCCCGAGAAACTGGGATATGGCCACGCCTGAACGTTCGCGTTTGCGTCTGTGTGTGTGTGGGGGGGGGNGGGGGGGGGTAGGTGTACGGGGATACACGAAATGTTAAAACTGCCAAGTAAACTGGCGCCTCGGAACACAGGTGCTATTTTGCCAGCTAGCTGTCCGTACCCAATCGGTTGTTGTTGTTGTCTAGGCACGTCTGGGCCCATGTAAATTTGTCCCCCCCCCCCTGTCTGGCACAGTATAGAACGAAACGCACAGATTTAGCACCGTATATACATCCATCACAAATACCCGCATGTGCAGGCACAAAGCGCTTGACGCGGAATTTCGGCACGCCTGTGCTGTCCGGTTTTGAACGAAAAAAATTTGGTAACCGGTTCTCCCTGATTTCACACACAATTTGAGCCACAGTGTGGTTCCACCGGAGCCACTAGTCTTGAGCTGGGAGACGCGCTGGCAGCCCGATGCACCAGGGCGGACACGATAAAGCCAGAGTTGGAACGCCTGACCATCAATATGGCATGAAAGAAACTCGAGTTGTGGTTTACAGCTTGCCTTTCCATTTTGTTCAGTCTTTTTTCCATTAAGTATCAAAACGACTAAATCGAGGCGAGGGGTGATTCCGAGTAAAAGTAATGGAAAGTTGGATGAGTGAGACTGACAAATTGAAGAGAGCCGCCATTGGTAACAAACTGCTCGGGAAACCTAATGCATTTTCGGACTATCCATAGGATAGCAATTAATTGTTTGCGTAACCGTGTTCTTTCAAGTGATCGTAGGATAGTACAATTCGTGTCTACTGTCACTGAACAATGACCCTCTGATACACGAGACGATGTATCAAACGATGATGTTCGGAGCAGCAAATACCAATAAAATGGTTTTGCTTGCGCGAAAAAAGCTGTTTTATGGTTCTTCGGCTGTTCTTTGAGTTTTTTTTCTGCCTAAAGTCTACAACGAGAACTTGACTTTTGGTGGTTCCGATTGCGCCGTGAACCTGAACCAGCGAACAGCGTAAATTTCGGTTGGATAGAGGTTTCAGAAAATGGTAAAAACAATAAAAATACTCCCATCAATGTTCGGAGTAGGCCAGCAAATGTGTTCCAATTAAAGTTAATGCCCCATTTTCGGTGACTAATTTTATTCATTCTCTGATCATCAGAACCACAACCAGATAGGGGAGAACAAAGGAGTTTCAAACCAGCTTATTCTAGTCGAAAGAGAAGGAAAGTGAACTGATGGTCGTGTGAGAACGAGCATTTGATATTTATTTGAGAAAGAGTGAAATGTGGTCTCAGAGAATTCCGTAAATCAGGTCTGAACGGGAACCAATATGTTTTTGGAAAAAAACTTGAATTTGAATTTGATTTGTGTTGATGGTTACGTCCAGTAAGTGTTAACTGAAGACAGATGAAAGGGGATTAACAATTACTAAGCCGCGGCAAAGAGAAATAAAGTCTTATTCTAGAAGACCAGAAAATACTTGTGGAGGAACAAGGATAATGCATTCAAAAACGAAATTAGAAATAACCAGTGAGCGGTTCCAAAACTGTTGGTGTTTGTGAGAACTGGTGGGCAACGACAGCTAGCACAGTGGAAGTAGAAGCTGCAACAGGAAATAGTCAAAGAATGTTCCGACTGATGTGCACACGGGAGGTCCACGAATAGTAGTTAGTGAAACAATTTGCATCAAAAGTGGGCAAGCTATTCACGATAGAGAACAACGGCTTGATCGGTGGGCCGAGTACTTCAACGAACAGTTCAGATGGCCAGGCGCTAACGAGGCTACCTTCTCCGGTGTAGCTGAGGTTCCGTGGGCAGTGTCATCTGAACCTCCTACTGCAGCACAAGTTCGATCTTGCATCCAAGCCCTGAAGACAGGAAAAGCAACAGGACCCGACGGTCTTCCCCCCACATTTTTCAAGATGGGGGGCGATGACCTCGTCGATGCCATTACTGATATAATGTGTGACATCTGGTCACACGAGCGCATTCCATCACCCTGGAGCGAATCACTGATCGCTCCAATTTTTAAAAAGGGTTATCTCGACGACTGCGCAAACCACCGTGGAATAAGTTCGATCCCGATCGTCACCAAGTAACTAGCCTTCATCATACTTCAACATCCGATACCGTTTAGGGAGACAAACATCAGCGATCAACAAGCAGGATTTCGACCAGGTCGCGGTTGTGTCGATCAAATATTCATGTTTGAGCTACTCAGCGTCGACCAACGGTTGTCGTGTTCCTTGAACCAAAAGGAGCTTTCAACTCAGTTGATCGTGAATCCCTTATGGATTCGCTCCTTCGCAAAGGAATGCCGCATATGTAGGTGAAGATACTAAGTTCACTCTACTCGCATACTTCTGGAAGCGTAAGAATCCACGGTAAGCTGAGTAGATCGTTCGTAACTAGCAGTGGTGTTCTTCAAGGGTGCCTTCTTTCGCCGTTTCTGTTCAATTTCATCATAGACGAAATACTGGAGAACGCACTTAGTGGTCTCCAAAATGTAGGTACATAATGGGCAGCTGGAGAAAAGCTGTGTGATTTGGAGTAGGCTGACTACAGCGTCTTCTCGTTCGAATGTATGGAGGATGACAGAGAGCACTTGACAGATTAGCAAGTCCTGTCGCTCCTTTCGCCATGTGGTTTGCGCCTTCAAAGTGCAAAGTGATGCTACAAGACTGGGTGTTGCCGAGTTTTGCTCTGAAATTATACGATCGGGAATTAGCTGGAGTTGACTGCTTTTCGTACTTAGGTAGCTGCGTGACCAACGACGGTAGCGCATCAAAGGAGATAACCGCCCGCATTTCCAAGGCTCGAGCAGCGTAAGCAGGACTGAAACACCTGTGGCGACGACGTGATGTTTCATTGAAGTTGAAAAGTCGCCTATACTGTGCCACGGTGCGGTAATTTCTGCTTTACGGTTGTGAGACCTTGAATTTGCGGTTAGAAGACATCCATCGCTTAGTGGTTTTCGACAATCGATGCTTACGTAGTCTGACCCAAGTGGGATGGAGTGAGCGGGTTAGTAACTTAGAAATAATTCGTCGTGTATTTGGGAATGCATTGAAGACGAACTCGCTAGTATATCGAATCCCGCTCAATGGAATTCGTTGGTTAGGACACGTCTTGCGTATGTCCGTCGGTCATCCACCGCGGCGCGCCTCATTCGCAGTGGCTGTTGCAGGCTGGAACAAGCCGCGTGGAGACCAGCAGATTAAGTGGAGACGAGGTAAGAAGAAATGCACGTAGCAATTAGGTAAAGTAGGTGTCTCTCGTCTTCTGGGATGGGGTCCAAAAGACTGCGAACCCGCATGGTTGGAGACACTAAAGGTCATGGCTGCGAACCGACAGCAAGGGTGATACTGCTGTCACTTCTTATCACACCAGAATGCTCGAAATAGTATATATGTACGCGAGACTGTGTACTCTGTGTTGACCGCTTTCGCTTTCTTTTCCCGTCCCTAAAAGTAAGTTCAATCCCTATCCTCCTTAAACATTCTCACTTATCTTGTATGCATTATGAGTTTGGCACCGATCGTTTAAGTTCGCTTCACTGTATTACGCTGTACGGTGATGATGAGGATGATGATGAGGATGGTATTTGTGTAATTGAATGCAAAGACGTCAAGGCTTTTAAACACAGTACTAAACGACAAATGCTAGACTTGCATTAGTTCTCACCTTGGCACTTGAAAACACTTCGTAGAACCAATTCTGAAAGGAAATCCGAGTTTAACTAGACAGAATCATTTTGAAACGGATCGCGGGGAAGACCAAAACTGATCAAAAAGGGGTTCAGTTTTAGACAAAATTTGAATTAAGCATTCTCCTCGGGTGACAAGACTATAAAAGAATTTGTGTATCACTCTAGTAATGTGCATCCGTATCGGTAAGACAGCTGATAGAGACAGACGCATAACCGAATCAAATGAAGCTTTCCTGACGATGGGATTTTATCGACTAGATTTGGAGAGGACATTAACAACTGCAATATCCGTGGCTCGGAATAAAAAACGTGTGCCACGTTTTCACAGTATCCCCCCCCCACCCGCAGTTTGTTGCTATCTCAATTCCTTGGAAACAGAAACAGGCGTTCTTATCGGAGCCAGACTTATTCCTTTTTGCATGAACAAAGTAATTACATAAGATATTTTACATCATGGAAGCATCAATCGTCTGAGTGTGCATGGGACATCAAAAGGATTTCGGTATCCTCGTTTCCAGATCCTACTTATGGTTGACTCATTTCAGTTGTTTCTACTGCAAATACTATCAGCATAGGTAACAATAATACCACAAATGCTAACTCTCTGTCTCCACACAGACCGAATCTGCAGAAAGAAAAACTTGCACTCTCAACCTCCGTGGGATGCGCAAATCGTTTAACGTGCAACGACGCTATTGTTATTATTCTCGTGCACGCAATGCACAAACGAACAAAAACTTTGACCATTCATCGCATTTGATAGGGACCGCTGTCATGACCACCGCGCACGCAGCTCGATAGATCAAAGAAGGGACAGGATGAGTGTCGTGGTGTTGTGCTTTCCACCCCGCTCCATCCTCGGGAGAAATGTGACTAACCTCGTTCTTTAGCATCCATTCTAAAAACAAAATCAAACCAATATAAAACTGAACTTGAGCAGTGCTACCGAGGTATACTAAACGGTTGAGCACATCGTTCATTTCGATGACCGTGAATGACTGTGAATTCCAGTGAGTCTTTCACTCTTCGGACCACTCTGTTCTTTTCCTCTGCCTCTCATTGTAAGTGTGATGGATCTATGATACGGTGGGCTCTATCAAGTAGTTCTGTAACACACACGCACGCACACACAAATAGAATGAGTTACGACTCTGAAATAGTTTCCTTAATATATATAATATCGGAGAAAAAATATTCAAGGCACAAAAGACTTGAATGAGAGAGGAAAGGGTGAAGATGTGATGGCTGGAAATCTGTAAGGTGTTTCTTGGTAGGATGAGGATTTCATGCGGCTGATCCACTAAAATGAACAGAAATTACTATGAAAGTCGAACAAGAGTAGTAATAGTAGTAATTTTGTAAGACGTTGCCTGGACGAGGATAACTACTTATTATGAATAACTGTCAGGATATTGGTAAACTGGCATTAATACAACAAAATGTCTCATTTGGAACGGATCGTCGGATTTCCCACACACACAGGATAGTGAGTGGAACGGTTCAACAGTAGATGCACATTTCTGAAGTTACCTCCTGAACACAGCAATCCTCTCCAAAAGGTCTTATTCATTTCCGACCGTTGAAAGAAACCGTTACTTGCATCCTTCAGTGAGTTACTCACAAATGTGAGTAGTAACGCATAACAGTAGTAGTAGTATGGATTTAGACCAGTAACGTGGTCAACATCTTTGGATAAAGAGATGTATTGAATGATTCTCCACAATGAGAGGTTTTTGTGAACCCCGATTCAAATAAGAAAAGTCGTTCGCCTGGAGTATGCAAATGGATTTTAGGATAATTTTCGACATCTGCAGCATTAAACAGCCAATTAGACTTTGTTGGGTCTCATCAGCAGCGCGAATCCATTGACACAACTGCGGATAGAATCCGGAACCTCACAGATGGGAACAAAAAGCAGCTAGCTGAAACATTCAGTAGCCATACGGGACACGGCACAGCACGTCCTTGCAAGCTTACTGTGGGGTATTGTACTATACTCAGTTAAGCACAGGCACGGAGAGTTACGATTCAGTCGGAAACATTTGATTTTTTCTGGTTAGGATTCAGATAATGCAACAGGACAATGTTTCTGTCGCTCATGGCAGGGCATGAATTATGCACCTCTGTGAAACCCTACAGGACAACTATTGTTTTGATACTGTTCGCCTTTATCGAGGACGGCCACACAGAAAGCATTTACCGGTTATCGTCAAAAGAGCAACACGATCTTCGTCCTCCGCATCTTTAGACGCAAAATCAACCTCATCGTTATCATCGCCATTCATTTTCATCATCACCACCACCACAATTGGTGAGTATGTTGCACGTCTTTTCTTCCTCTCTTTCTTCACACACACATACATTTTTTTTATTCGGTTCGTTTTATTCTGTGCAAACAAAACAAATCTAACGACCGCATTGTTCGGCCCGTTTCCAGTCGACTGGTTTACTAAGGATAGGATACGGAATCAAATAAAGAAGTGGAGATGTGGAAACCCAGGGGGGTGGATGCTTGCTGACTGGGTCGTCGTGGTCCTCAACAGCGCGGAATAAAACGCACCAGACGAATGATCGTCTGAGTGATCAACTGGACGGAACAAATCAACACAAAACCGAACAAACAAACAACCGAACGAAAGAACAGACAGAACAAAAACGCGTACATTTTCCCTGAGGGAAACGTTTCATTTCCATTAAGGTGGTTGGGGGGGGATATTGAACGGAACGGAAATTGATCAAACTAGTAGCCCGAGCCGCAATCTGGTCGCAGATAGTGGGGCACATCCTGAAGTACACATGAATGAGTAACCGGTTCACACTATTTAATCCAATCGCACAAACGTGTGACAGTGTACAATGGGATAGCCCGAAGCGTGAACAGTGGACCAATCGGTGCTGATGCTTACTTTTTTACCCAGAACATTCTGATGACATTCGAAACAAAAATAAGTGTAAATGTCGATAAGGAAGCACACAACCAGGCACCTTCAACCTGTTCCATCGGCAAAATCACTCACTCCCGCTCAGATAACAAGTAAGTTTTCTGCAGTGAAACAATTCATGCAACAGTCGCTTGTTTGACCGGTTGGTTAGCTAATTTGTTGCCTGGTTATAATTACATTCAATTAGAGAGGCGTTGAAGGAGGACAGTCGCGCTCAATTTTCAACTGAAAACGAATGCCGGATGTGCAATCATTTAGTCCGAATCAACTGTAGCAGACTAACCTTACTGTTTCCTGTTCCTGTCCTCCTCGTCAAAGTCGGAGATAAGCATTTTCATGATCAATCACTTTTAATTTGGGCTTCCTTAGAGTTCGAGATCACTTAGACGCATGAAGTTATGATTAGAGAGAGCCAAAAAATATGAATGTTGTAACAGGGTGCTTAGGCTATTTGTAATAAAAATAATGAAGATAATTAAATAAATATTTGATGGACAATTACCTTGAATAGCTCGCAAATGCATAGTGGGATCCATGATTGGGTAGCGATGTGACTGCATGCTTGTTTGCTGCTGCTGCTGCTGCTGTGGTTGTGATACCATCGCTGAGCCCGTTGTTCCTCGAGCGAATTTGAGTTGATGGGATAAGGGAAGACCATGATTCGGTCCAAGGGTGGGATGTTTGATGTGTATCCATCGCGCTTTCGAAACATCTTTGACGTCAGTTGATCCAAAACCATTTCCTACCCCATTCATGGAATCAGTGGAGACCAAGGGTGTGCCAGAATTAGCCAAATCATCCGGTGTCTGACTATGACTGGTGGAACTTTGACTTGGGCTCGAGGAGAACGCCGGCCCAGGAGGCATCGGTAAAGGTAGTGTTGGTGGTGGGGGCAATAAGGTGGAAAACATAGGGATTGAATTGACTGATTGAGGTAGATGTTGAAAACCGTTGCCCTCCGTGGATTGTTGAAGCTGTGATTGTTTTGAGGACTGAACAAATAGATGAAACGGTTTTCCTTGGTAGTCAATACTTCTGGAGTAACGCTTTTCCGTATCCCCGTTTCCAATTCGGGCGTACGGTTGTGAATCACAGTCGGAACCGGGCAAACTTGTGTAGATTGCGCTATCATGTATCGGGAGTACGACAAACGGGTCATCCGACAGTCCGTTTGGTTTCAGAGTGCCAATATTTGTTAAGGGGGGTCGGAAATCGATATGTGTGACCTGAAACCAACAACAAAGAAAAGTGTGAACAGGTGTAAGTAGAATCCCTTAGCAAACAACGACAACAACAACAATATGCCATTCAATTTAGTCTGAGAAAACCATCATGCGATCTGATCCAGTCATTCAACTTGTTATCGATTTGATGAAACTTGCAAACGATATCACAACGCCTTACAAAAAGGTACCTAATTCGACTTAAACTTGACCGATAATACATTGTTGATGAACGGACCGTATATTTTCGTTTAAGGCAAGAGATTTTTAGCTTTACTCGCCGGAAGGAAGCCCTATTCAGTTAATTGTGATGCCCGTTTAAATAATTTCAAGGAAACAAAGATGTTCGATGCTGAAAAATTGCTCCCTATTTCAACAAAAAAGTATCTGAGGGAACAAACTGCTGACGAGGTTCTAACCATTTCTTATTAATCAGAGATTTCTTGTCTGAACGCACATTCCTGAAGTATACACAGCATGGTAAAAGCAAACGGCACCCACGGGTCCGGGGTGGAAACGGATTGCACAAGGTGATTGCGTCAGAGCTTACCTGAGGAGAAACAAAGGGGATAAATTGCACTGACTGAGGAGCCACTGTGCTTGCCGGGATTGTCTGATCACCTAGTCCGAAACGCGCGGGGTCAAAATCACTCCGCATGGGACAACCGGTCAGATCCCCGGCCAACTTGGGTGTGTGTGGCGTCGATTCAGTCGGATAGTTCGGATCGATTAACTGACCGAACGGACCACGTAACGTATGAGCAAACTCCGTATGATTCTGCGTGCCAAGAACCAGCGGTGTTCTTGCAGCCCCGTACAGAACCCCGGTTTGACCAGGGTCACATGGATTAACCAAACCGTCCAGTGGATTAGCCAGTGTGGAGTTGGGATGCTGTTGTTGTTGCTGCTGCTGGTTTTGATTAGAAGGTAGCATGTAAGGTGTTTGAACCTCACTCAGACAGTCAAAGTGGTTCGCACCGTTCATGGGTCGTTTCCCACGATGGAAGTGTTGTTCGAAACGCGAGCGCATTCGTTTTTGACGCCAGAGGAAACAAAGACCAATAACGCTAACACCAATCAGTGCTGCCAAGATCCCACAAATCGTTCCTAACGTCAGAGTAGACTGACCAATAGGAAACGAGGAGCCAGTTTTAGTGCTATCCGTAGTCACTGAGGTTTCCACGGGGCCAGTGCCTGAAGTTTTGTTCTGCGGACCCTTGCCATTCACAACCGTTCCATCGCCATTTGATGCCCGGTTTTTCGGCATGAACAGCGACTGTGTGGGTTTGACCTGGAGCTCATTGGGGTCTAGTTTTTCTAGGCAAAAAATGAGTAAAGTGGTTCACGGATAGGTGAACTAGGAGTACGAACAAAAGTGAATCGCACAAAAGGATAGCATAGTCTCTACTGTGATTAAATCCAATGTGTAATGAATGTTGTGCCACAGTGTGGTATAAACAGAAAACCTCGACACATCCTTTGTGATGAAATCTGGTGAAAATTCATACCGGCCTTCAACGGATATCTCGCGGTCCGCGTTAAACATCCGGTTAATTTCTCCTACCCAATATATTCCATTTGAATACATGAAGTGAATGGACTCTTGCTTAGTTTGGGATTCTGTATATTGTCATCAAGTGCCTATAATAACGTCTTGTATTGATCGAAGTCACTCTTTATAAAGGGCTAAACTAACAAAAGTCTGGTGCATTTGGAACAATGCACAGTCAAATCAAAGTTTTCAAAGTCGGAACCATATCTTAGGCGAAAACCCTAACTTTTAATGAGTTACCAAATGTGTGTAATTTATTTTTTCATTCTATAAATAAGCTTATCTATTCCCATCCTTCAGTTACTCCACAATCCCCAGCACTTTTATCTTCTGCCCTGGATCGTCCCCCCACCACAATACCCTGAAATTTTGCATCTTTCTCATTCTTCACAATCACAGAGAAGTGACTCGGTGCGGTTGGTCCTTCATTTTACTTTACATTTACACACCCTTCCAAGTATCAAATGTGTACCCAATTTATTGTGCTGCTCACGTGATCAAACCAATTGTTGTTGTTGTCTGAGTGTAACGCGGTCTTAAAAACAAGCTTCATGCATACAGGGGAAACACGGATACGCAGTAGTCTCCCTTGTCCAACATTTGTATTGTACGTACGCCAGATGAGATGGGATTTGATGGAACCGAAACCAGTATACGTGATATCTGGTCGTACATCCTGCTTTCGTCAAATTTGTACTTTCGGTTAGACCAAATTCAGTTTCACAGTGAGGCGGAGTTCGTCTCTGAGATCAAGTTAGGTAGTTACAAATTATATATATAAGCCGACTCCAGTGCCGGTAGTGGAACGGTTGAACTGATCATTAGTTACGTAACAGCAGTGGATGATTTGATTCACTTATATAGAGGATTTTGTCGGGCAGAGAGTAATCAGGTTGAAGCACCTGTACAGTATGCTTCTTAGCCGCTCAGTTCACGCCTCGTTTACTATATACACGGCGAAAATCACTAGTTAATCATCATTGATTGTTACAAATAAAAATTTACAAAACCAGTACAGCAAATTGAGGGTATTGTCGTCAAAGCTGGACATGACTGATCACATTCCTGTCACCGGACAAACCTTGATTGACCAAAATTGCCTTCTTGAAAATTGATCGTACAATTGAATGGTCAATAATACAATGATATTACCATAAATATTTTCACTGAGGCAATGATGCGTCAGATAACAGAAGCTTTATGGACAATATAATGTGCCACTTTCCAGATTCTCTAAGTGCATCAACCATGCATTTTCATTACCCATTAAACCTGATGAAGCAAATTGACTCGAGAACATAGGAAGTGAAGGGAACAATTGATTGTTCACACTGGTGGCCGGTTGATGAGGTTTTTTGGAGCATTGGCTGTTCCGAAAGCACTGACCCTAAGTGCGAGTGTCCCAGCAGTGAGTGAGTGCACTGTCACATCAGGTTTGTTCTTCATCCCGCGCTAACCCCTCCCCCATACACACGTCCATTTTCCTGGTCACATTTGACGATCGTTTCCGCGTTTTGCTCAAAACGGAAGCCGCACACCAACGGTAGTGAAACGAATTAGCTGCAGACTCACTGAATTGGACGTGATCTGAAATTTTCGCCATAAGACAGACACGACGTTTGTTCGGTCCATTCAATATGTCAATATTAGGTCTATTGCTCACCCCTTATCGAAATATGGCATCTCCGAGTACGATTTGGTTTTGGTAGGTGCGTGTCTGGTCTGATTAGTTTGTCTGATCAAGTGCCATAAAAGCTGTTTGAAAATGACCCAATAACCCGTAGTATCGGGTGAGTATTTGTTCCGCGGGAATGGACATGTGTGCAATCGAACAAACATGTTGTCAGTGGGTCTACGGTCAGTCCTCTAGAGTTTCAATTCCAACGATATGACGATCAACGCCAAGCAAACTCGAGCTATTTGGTAATCCTGGAGAATATATACATATATATATATATATATATATATGTGCTTAGCAAACGGAGTACCATGGCTAAATTATTTTTGGTTCAATAATACATAGTACGTGAATGAGTGAATGAAATGTCCCAGGAGAGCATCATTGATCTTACGACACAACCTTCTTTAAATATGAGTATTGAATACTATTCTACCAGATCATTCTGATGTGAATTTCGTTGAATTTTTTTGTTTGCCTCCTCCTACACGCACCCAAACAAATGCGTTCTTTTCTACATTTGCTATCATGCTTTCCCAAATGTGATATTCTATTGAAGCTATTCTCGATGATCATTTTCGCCTACTAACAGTTTATCAATTTTGAACATGATCACCTGTCATCAAACAGAATGCTATTCACTCTCCTCTGTAGCTCTATCGAACAGCCTACCCCGTCCGTTTCTAAACAGTTGCATTTTTGTGGACAAATTTTTCCGCGTAAACTTTGTTTCGAAAAGCGGTTGACCTCAGTACCTGGCTTTTCGAGTGAACAGATTGTACTGGCTCTTTCGATCAGGCATTTGTTTGTTCTAGGATGTTTGGTTCACCTCGAATTTCTGTAAATACGATGTTCGATACCGCCAGAGTGTTTTTTGATTATTACCAAATCTGGAAAAGAGGTCTGATCGTGGGATTTTTTACTTTTGAACAAGATAGTATTAAATCTCTTTCTCACTTATCAACATTTAAGGAAACTGCGATTATTAAGGCTGAGCGAAAGGAACTAGTCTCCAATCTCAGGATGACTATATGTGAAGAATTCTTACTAAACCTTTCGATGCAGCAATGAAGTCCATTTTCTACACGGGCAGAATTCCGTTTCTCACCGAATTGTTCCCTTTTCAACAGCATACCGATTCGGAAGTCATTTGTCTCAAATGACGCACTTCCCTGACTAAGGTAGATCAAAAACGACACCTAATATCAGTCTCGCACACATAGTAGACACTGGTCGAGCATTTAGGGTCACCTAGCTAGTGCCCTCAAATCAATCAAAACATATCCAGAGTTAATCCTGTTGGGATGAAGCGTTTGACCCCTGGCTGCGAGCAATAACGTTAGATTCATGCTTTGCACCTTTCATGGTCAACGAGAAAACACGATGCAAACCGGATCTAATCATCTTATTCCAGATACAAATGGGACAGCATCCAGGTCGATTTCACTTCACCTATACGCATGCACACACATTAGCGCACAAGGGCGAGCATATACACCCAGACGGATCAATGAGACCGATGTAATCAAGCTTGGGTTTCATGTCTCAAATTATGCAGAATGCAATTAGACATTTCGAAAACCTCTGTTCTCCTGATCCTGTTTGTCCATGCTATTATGTGACCATGGACATTTCCGAGGCACATCGACTTACCATTTTCGAATGCTATTTCTCCGAGAACAATCCACGCTGAGTCAAAATATAATCGAACATCGACAAATCGACCAATGCCCAGTGTTCCCGAATGCAACATGCTCCCTGAGACACTCTCCGGTCCAGTTGATATCGAACCGGAATTCTTTTCATCTGCTTTTACCGGTGCTGTGTACCACTGTGTTTGTGCCGGAGACATGACGAGCCATCGAGAGACCGACACGGACCGATCGGCACGGGGATTGAGGGCAACTAACGGGACCGAACTATCGGGTCGTTGATCTGTCGAGGCTGGATAGTGTAAGCTGCACTGGACAGTAATATTCCTTGGTAGTGTCACATCGTGAGTGAAATCGTTGGCTAAGAAAAGACGCAGGGCAGTGAAATTGTAGATCGCGTCAAATCGGAACAGGATACGGACATGCTCATCCTCATAACTCCAGGCGGTTTGGACATGTCGCGGTGAAAATCGTCGTTTCCAACCCATGTATTTGAAACTTGAAAACGGTCTAAAATAAGAACCAAATTATTGTTGTTGTTAGAAAAGAAAAAGCATGACTACTTTGATGATCAATCTCGCATAGGAGAACAGGTTGATGTTGTTTTAGTGTATTCTGATAGATTTTATAAGCAGTCACACCTGCACTTCAGTTAGAAATACTCGTAACGCTGTCACGGAAGAATAGACACACCAAAAATAAAAATGTATGCGGATTAAGGAGCAAAAGATTTTATCCAACCCAGAGGAGGAGTAGTGGTGGTAGTGATTTATTTTCCAAATGTAAGAATGAAAATTACCATGACAATTTAACTGACATCTTTCACCTCACATTTAGCCAAAAACCAGTACAGTAAGCACATTTGAAACCATTTACCCGATCAAAACGCTAACCTATCAAATCACTTGGGTTTATAATTAAAAGGTAGCAAAATTCTCTTCAGTTAGATGTCTTATTGTGCTGGATGAAGAATAGAACTAAACACATCACTGAGTTGATAATTAATAGATTAGATAGTTAAACCGAAGAAAACAAAATGCAGTTTTCACGATCGAACCAGTGCAATTGACCGGAACCGGTTAGTCAGGTTTGAAAACCAGTCGACCGATCCCGATCAGGGCTCTAGGGCTCAGACAGTCACGTGCTCACCAATATAGACATGCCAAGATCAAATTGAGAAGGCCACTGGCCAGTACCATTGTTACTCTGTAGACATCCACCACGTAGATGGTAGAAACAGCAACATTGTGACGAGGCACAATCAACGAAGTTTCCCCTTGGAATATAAGAATAAAAGAAATTTCCGAGAGCCTTCCAATTCGAGTAAATTCGGGGAAAATGAACCCCAATTACGAATGGAATGAGCAGAAGATTGCGACCACACAACAAGTGTTCTTGTTGTTCTATAGTCGTGATTTGTCTTAGTCTGTTTTGGTGAATGCAACAACGTCATTTTGCCCGAATTAATTCCATTTTTATGCTCAGCATGAAAACTTGAAAGTTGGTGAAAACTTGCGGAATAAGTGATGAAACTCGGATGAAAAGGGCTCATAGTTGTCGCTCAAATGTGTCACAATTGCATAGCATCATACATATTAGATGGTCAGAAAGTGCAACAGAACCGCAGTATACCGCGTTCTCTGTCCCGCTGAACGATAAACATGGATCGGTACATATGCAAAACAGATGACCGCTTTTTACGATTCTTCCTTGATCGGGAGATTTTATGTTGATTACCTGCCATCGGACATCGGTAGATAAGAGGAGGAAAATAACTGCTGTTCAAACAGTTTGGCGGGCGCACCTAGGTGATAGGACAAAGTGCAGTTAGGCTGGAACACGGTAACAGAACCCGAGGGCTCTCTAACACTTCAGCAATCACTCAACGCAGCTTATCAATGGTTTAAGGAGAACGAAATTGTATTTAATGTTTCTAAATGCCTAATGTCCTATCCCTACGCCACAAGCGAAAACTCTCGTATTTCCTTGGGGATCAGTAGCTACCACACACCTCTAGTGAAAAGGACTTTGGTATTATTGTTCAAGGGGATTTAAGCTGCTCCATCAATTGTGCTAAGGCTTTGTCCGCTGCTATGAAGAATGTCGGCTTACTTGGGCGAGTCTTTGGCCGGTTTGAATCATCACTATTCCCACGTTTGCTATCAACGTACATTCGATCCTACACAGAACACGCCATCCCAGCTTGGAGTCCATGGCTTCAACGTGATCGCAAGATGCATGAGCTTCCACAAAGGATGGCCACGGAGATGGTCAAGGGATTGCATTATCTGACATATGAGGAGGGATTACGATCATTGGGACTATATTCTGCTCAGTACCGCCGGACTCGAGACTTGATTTTGACGTATCAAATACTGCAGAACCCAAACCATCCGTGTCGATTGCTGCTCATTTTGTCGAACAATGTACATCTAATGTGACACCGTTTCAAGCTACTGATTCCAAGTGTCGATTGGAATGCCGGTGCCAGTCTTTTGCAGTCAGAGTATGCAGTTCTTGGAACGCCCTACCACCCCATGTCGTTTGTGTATCCACCATTGAATCTTCCAAGCAGAGACTTGACGAAACCTTGGCACACCTCACATTTGTACACCACTAAAAGCAAACGAAAGTTCACTGTACCCTACACTGTCTATTATCTCCTACCCGGAACTCTATTTGACTCCTTTTTCGACGTGTAACAATTCATCTATGTAAATATCCTATGGGGACAAGAGAAGAATGAGCTTGTAATTTATTCCCATAATAAAACTTTGACTTTGCACATCACGGTGCGAATCCCACACTTGTAATGAACCGTCACTAAACAAACACCCACCTTGGTTGGGATTGTGGCTAATGCGTTCGGGAAAGATCGGACTGGAGTCGATGTATTTCGGTTCAATTTTCGTTCCACTAACGGGCGCTTCCTAGACGGGAGTAGCCGCATTTCTTTCGTAAACCCCGATGAAACAGTCTAAAGTGGAGTCGGAATAAACTCAACTCAAGTACGATAAATGCGGTCAAAACCTAACGTGATTCGTTTTTTCCAAATTCTACGTAAACAACTTTGTAACAAAGCGGTTTGAGGATCTTCAGAACTTGGGTTCTCGAACCTCATCGTGTGGGATAGGCACGTAATGTTCAGTAACCAGGGGATTCGGAAGCTAAGTAGAAGTGATCTTGATAAAGACCTCAGATAGATCAAACTCTACCTTGCTCATTGGACAAAGCGCAACAGGATGATGACTGGAAACTACGTTGTTGATAATTGAGGCTGAAATGGACAAAGCAATCAGTTTACATGTATGCCTCGAGGAGTGATTTGTTTTGATAGATGAGTTTAGTGTATCTCCAGTTTAGTCCAGTAGATGTACCTTACTCATCAATTCCGTTAGTGATTACCACAAACTCCTTAACGTTCTGGGTCCATGAGAGTATAGATCAGACGACGCAAACCGTCTGTCTAATCATTGCCAAAGTAATCAAATATAAAAACGTCAAGTCCCCAAGGGACGGAAGCAAGTAAGCTTCAATGATAAACATGGGGTTCGGGAAATGTACAAACTAGAGCCCATCACGTTGAGTGATTTATCGTAGATGTCCAAATGAAGTGCACCTGTTGTAGTAGAACGATTTACTTCGTGTGATATCCAACGAACTAGATGATTGTCTGACTTAACAGCTTGTGTGGTCTGCTAGGATAGAGAGGAATTCTCTTTGAATACACCTTATCGATAAACGGAAAAACTGTAGCAATGCTAGTAGTATATACCCCACTCAATTACAAACGAGCAATCACAACGCTTCTCGCTTTCTATCTCTCGAGAGAGCGAGCTCTCATTATTTCATACGTAACACGAATCATTTAACCAACTTTTGCCTTCTGGACCGTTCCTCCCATTCGCTACTTCCTCATCCCACTACTGAGATTGGGAGGCCCGGGAACAGAAAAGACTCGCTCTGTCAGCTGTTGAACGCAACTACCGAAGGCAATCAACCACACGCTCTAGTCAATTAGCCCATGCCATCAATCATGTGCTACAGGACAGGGAAAACACGTGATAAACTAGCTTTGGGACGTGTATACGTTCTTTTTTTCTTTGCCAAAAACGAGGATGCGTGTTACCCGAGAACATTTGAGCATTGGTGCATGACATACCCGAATCTGAGCAAATGAGAAATATACGGCACCTTTTTACCCTCGATATCGGATAATAAATCGTATAATTTGAATCTGAATTCAGCCAGTGGAGAGTTTGTAAGAACTTAATGCATGACGTTCCGTTGTTGCACATCATTGATGGTTGCTTTACGTGGAAATAATAATAATGCTTTGATACTGCGCACTTTGGTAATCAAAGTTAGGCCACAACGACAATGACGAGAACACCAACAACAACATCACCAACAACAACACAAGTAGGTGACTGGGTATTGGACAATAAGGGCGAACAAAACAGGAGATCCAGCAGATCAGGGTCAGCAGATCACACGAACAACCTTGGTCAACCGCGTGCAAGGAACGGGTGATAGGAGGCATAAATTCTGCTAAATCAGAGCAAGGCATCAGTTATGAAGTCCAATTATTTGATCACGTTGGTCAGAACCCGTCGAATTTCGATAATTTAGAGAAAATAAAATGTACTCGGAATGAGTAGTCTATTTATAATCCCGGAAAAGTATGTTGCTTTTGATAATTCGATAAAATCGAATAAATGCGAGGTGATGGAACGTGTAAGCACATTGGGACCCTGTAGTGCTGGCTTCTTAGCTAGCTACAAGTTCAGAAATTTTAATGGATAGCTTTCTCTCTCTCAGTTCAACGGAATAGTTAGAACTGTTTCATATGTTATTATTTACCTAATGATATAACGTAAATATGTCCCCCTCCCCGTGTGAGCATCCACGTTTGAGTATCATGGGCGAAACAAAAACCTATTACTCAAATGGCCGGAGGGAAACTCGATTAACTGTGTCACCTTAGAATTATTTAAATCAAATCAGCTGTATAATTCTTCTATTAGTCATCATTCCACATATGACGGTAATAACCTCTAGGACTTTTGAATCGATCCGTAAAGTTGCGAAATTAACTACCAGTCTGAATTGGTCATTGCGATTCCGAAATCGCAGCACTCTTACTTTGTTTTTCATTTTACGTACAGTGCACTAAATCCAGAAAAAAAACGTTTGTTTGTGTAAAAAACCAACTGTGTGGCTAAAATGACCGATGTTGCCAATGAAAAAAAATCGACTGTCCGCATTTCTCATATTCTTTCACCGGTCTCACATCGAGTCACCCCATCAGAATAATTGCACGCACACCTATGAGAAAAATACATTTTTGTATTGTGATGGTTACAAAACGTTTTAATAGTATCATGGTGCTGCATTCAGTCTGTTGCATGTGATCTAAGTTCATCTTCCGCTTAACCTTTCGTAACGTGTAATCGATTACCACCAACACCCCAACACCTCACCTCGA